AAAAGGATGTGGAGAAGCTTGAGAGAGTCCAGAAAAGAGCCACACGCATGATCAGAGGTCAGGAAAACAGACCTTACAATGACAGGCTGAGAGCCATGGGGCTCTTTAGCCTGGAAAAGCGCAGGCTCAGGGGTGATCCGATGGCCACCTATACGTTTACCAGGATCTGGGGGAACGTTTGTTCATCAGTGCGCCCCAAGGGATGACGAGGTCGAACGGTCATAAACTACTGCGAGACTGTTTGAGGCTGGACATAAGGAAGAATTTCTTTATTGTCCGAGCCCCCAAGGTCTGGAACAGCCTGCCATCGGAGGTGGTTCAAGCACCTACTCTGAACACCTTCATGAGCAAATTGGATACTTATCTTGCTGGGATCCTATGACCCTAGCTGACTTCCCACCCTTCGGACGGGGGGCTGGACTCGATGATCTTCCAAGGTCCCTTCTAGCCCTAATGTCTATGAAATCTATGAAATAACCACTCTCCAGCCAGCTTCCGCCTCTTGGGCATCAGTGTCCTGTGCTTCAAAACGGTGGTGGAGGCACTTTATCTAAAGCTTGCTCAACAAGGTTTAGATAAAGTGCCTCCACAATTTTGAAGTGTGGGAATGCTAATATGAGATGCTTTGGGAGCTTTAATTAGAGCGGTTCTTGGAGCCACTACTTAAAGCGCACTCCTGGAGCATGTGTAAAAATGCCCAAAGGGTTTTTCTGCAGGTCTGAAAACACAGATGCAGCCAGAGCTAAATAATGAATAGAACAATAGCCTGTGGAAAACTCCATATAGAAATAACATCAGTCTGTTGAAAGAATGGAACAGGGCTACAATACTACTTCAAAGGTTTTTCATAAATTTACTTGTTGTTATTTAAATTGGAATATTTAAGGTTCTTTTTTATTTAGCAAGTAATTCAGAATATGCTATTATTGCATGCTGGATAGAAATTGTAATTCAATGAAGGCAGCTTAAGTTGTGAGAAAAAATATTAACAAAAATATTTTATAATACATGAATCTAAATAAATTGAAGCGATTATGAGGCTGAGCATGAAAGTGTATGAATGAGTGTTTTCACTCAGGCAGCAAAAAGGACTGCCATGGTTAGTGTAAAAGCTATTATTAGTTGGAAATAAGCATATTTTACATGGTCCCAACAAACAGTGATTCTCAAGTAGGGTGCCCTGAGATCCTTTCAAGGGTGCTAAGGGGTGCCATGTAACATTAGCACTGTTAACTGTGTAAGCATGATTCACAAGAAAAAACGAGAGATTTCAACTATGAATCCAAAGTGTTTAAAACATTCTGGCCTGTTGTGGTCCGAGTTATTTGCAACAAAAGAATTACTCCTTTTTGTAGTAATAACAACTCAAGTGAAAAGGGAAAAAAAAGTAATCAAGCTGACATTTTCTGAGGGGCACCCTGAGTCCATCAAGGGGTGCTTTGAGTCTGGAAAGGTTGAGAACCACTGTTTAAAATCAAACGTTTCTCATTTGCCACTTTAAATGGTGATTAAGATCAGCAATTTGAATTTATCTACCTTATATCAC